GTATTGCAGTGTAGATATAATGCAGAGTGTTCACTTGACTGTAGCATTAGCATTAAGTTTAGAGGTAGGAATACATTTAACATTTCACTACCTGTGTATTATAGTCTGGGTTTGATGGTGAGTGTTAGTGCTTTAGGAATGATTTAGGAATGTAAGTATCTTGGTTATAACTCATGCATGGTAATGTAAGGTTTAGATTTGGGGTCAGGGATAGCCTTGGAATTTCTGTATCTTGGCATTGGACTGTGGGTTTCATGTTTAATATCACCATTAGATTTTTTTCTCATTCAATTTATTGGTACATTTTAGGTATACAGTCCAGTTACATTCATCATTGGGATCTTGTACCTTTACATAACAGGTCTTGGTTCTCATTTTTTCCTCTTACCTCTCCTCTTCCTTCATCCCCTCCTCCCTTCCCTATTTACAAATGCTTTATTTCCATTTCTTCATTTTCTCTCATTTTTTCTTTTCCCTTGTTTCCTTTCCCCTACCCTTATCACTTTCCCTACACCTTTAGCCCTTTTCTTCCTATTTCATATTGTCAGTAATACCATTATGATCTTATGTACAATTACAGCTTTTCACACCAGAGAAACTATTCAGTATTTACACATGTGTGACTTATTTATTTTACTTAAGAGTATATCAATATGCATCCATTTTCCTATGAATTACTCTAATTCCTCATTCTTCACAGCTGAGTAGTATTCCATTTTATAGAAAACCCACAGGACTAGGAATGGTGTAGGATTTCTAGGGCTGCTATATTGGAACTTAGGAATCATGTTGATAGTTCTGTCTAAGGTCAGGACTCTTGAGAGGGATATGGATGGAATTCAAGGACATGATAATTTTTATGTGAAAATGAAGTTTTGGGGTAAGTCATAGCCTGGGAATTTTTGTACCTGGGTATTGGAGTGTGGGTTTCATTGTTAGTATCATCATTAGATTTCACCTCAGGGTTGGGAATAGTGTAGGATTTCAAGGACCACTTTATTGGAACTTGGGAATCATGTTCATGATTAGGGTTAGGGTTAGGATTGGTGAGAGGTATACAGATGAAATTCAAGTACCTGATAATTTACATGTTACAGTGAAGGTTAGGGCAATGGTTCTTATGAGGGCAAGGTGTACTGTGTTTTCCAATTACCTGAGCATTGAAGTGTAAATAAAATGCATAGAGTCTGGCTTTAGTGTTGGGCTAATGTTAGATTTAGGGATAGGAATAGAATCAATATTTCACTACCTGTGTATTGAATTGTGGATTTGATGGTGAGTGTTAGTGTTAATTTTGGGGTTAGGGTTAAGAATGATTTAGGAATGTAAGTACCTGGGTTAGGGATCATAGTAGGGTTAGGATTAGGAGTATTGGAGTGTGGGTTTCATTGTTAGTATCAGCATTATGTTTGGCCTTAGGGTTAGGAATAGTGTAGGAATGCAAGGACCACTGTATTGGAACTTGCTAATCATGTTGATGGTTAAGGTTAGGGTTAGGATTGGTGAGACAGATATGGATTTAATTGAAATACCTGATAAATGAAAGTTAGGGCAATGATTTTTATGAGGCTGAGGTTTAATGTGGGTTTCCAAATCCTTGAGCATTACAGTGTAGATAAAACGTGTAGTGTTTGCCTTGAATATAGTGTTAGCACTAGTTTTATGAGTAGGAATATACTTGACATTTCACTACATGTGTATTGTACTGTGGGTTTGATAGTGAGTATTAGTGTAAATTCTAGGATTTTTCTTAGGAATGATTTAGAAATGTAAGTAACTGTGTTAAGACTCTTGATAGTTTTAGGATTTCAGTTATGGTTGGGATCAGTGATAGCCTTGGAAATTTGGTATCTGGGTGTTGAAGTGTAGGTTCATAGTTAGTATCAGGATTAGATGTGAAGGTTAGAGTTAGGAATAGTGTACAATTTCAAGGACTGCTGTATTTGAACTTGGGTATCATGTTGATGGTTAGGGATAGATTTAGTATTGGTGACAGGGATATGGATGGAATTCAAGTACCTGATAATTTGTATGTGAAATGAAGTTTAGGACAATGATTTTTATTAGGATGAAGTGTAAAGTGGGTTTCCAAGTATGTGAGCATTGCAGTGCAGATATAATGCGTAGTGTCATGAGTTTCATAGTTAGCATCAGCATTATATTTAGACTCAGAGTTTGGAATTGTGTAGGATTTGAAGGACTGCTGTGTTCCAACTTGGGAATCATGCTGACGGTTAGTGCCAGGGTTTGTATTGGTGAGAGGGATATGGGTGGAATAGAAGTACATATAGTTTGTGTGTGAGAATGAACGTTAGGGAGGTGATTTTTATGAGGGTGAGGTGTACTGTGGTTTTCCAAGTATCTGAACATTGCAATGTAGTTATAATGCATAGTGTTTGGCTTCGCTGTAGGGTCAGTGTTAGGTTTAGGGGTAAGAATAGACTTGACATTTCATTATCTATGTATTGTATTATGGGTTTGATGATGACTGCTGGTGTTAATTTTAGGATTAGGGTTACAAATGATTTAGGAATGTAAGTGACTGGGTTAGAGCTCATGGTAAGTGTAGTTTTATGGTTATGGTTGTGTTCAGTGATAGCCTTATAAATTCTGAACCTGGATATTGGAGTGTGGGTTTCATAGTTAGTATCAGGAATAGATTAACCATAGGGTTAGGAATAGTGTAGGATTTCAAGGGCTGCTGTATTGGAATTTGGGAATCATGTTGGTGGTTACAGTTAGGATTAGGATTGGTGAGAGGGATATGGATGGAATTCAAGTACCAGATGATGTGCTAGTGACAGTGAAGGCTAGGACAATTATTTTTATATGGGTGAGGAATTCTGTGGGATTCCAAGTACCTGAGAAATGTAGATATAATGCCTAATGTTTGGCTTGAGTGTAACCTAAGCATTAGGATCAGGGGTAGGAATTGACTCGACATTTAATTACCTGTGTATTGTACTGTGGGTTTGATGGTGAGTGTTAGTATTAATTTTAGGATTAGGGTTAGGAAGTATTTAGGAATGTAAGCACCTGGGTTAGGGCTTCTGGTAGGGTTAGGCTTAGGATTAATTTTGGGTTCAGTTATAGAAGTGGAATTTCTGTACCTGGGTATAGGTGTTTGTGTTTCATAGTTAGCATCAGTATTTTATTTAAACTCAGGTTTAAGAATTGTGTACTATTTGAAGGACTGCTGTATTGGAACTTGGGAATCATGTTGACGGTTAGAGTTACATTTAGGATTGGTGAGAGGGATACGGATGGAATTCAAGTACCTGATAATTTGGTCTGTGTGTAAGGACAAATTTTATTTATTGTCCTTTGCCATGCACGGTCTCCTAATTAATTTGGCTCGATCAGCTAAAAGAACATCCACCAGCCTTAAATAAGTACAAAAGGGAAAGTTTATTGAAGGATATGTGCATACAGAAAACAAAAGTAAGAATGGAGAGGACAAAGAAAGAGGAGAGTCTGCTAACAGCAAGAGGGACTCTATCCGGGAAATTACCCTTAGGCTCTCTGGCAACAACACTGGAATGTTGGAGGAATTAGGCTCATCACTCGCAACACAGCACAGGTCTTTTCAAGAGTCTCTTCGGCTACAAGTCTCAATCCCGGGCGTAAGACAGCAGCAGCAGCCTGGGCTAGGCGGGTTGTTTATATAGCTCTCTAGACAAAGGTAGTAAATCTATCTGTACTTTTGGTGTGAAAAAGGTGAATGTGCTTGTAGTTACATCCCAACCGGGCCCTGGCCAGGGGTCCGGGAGGGGTGGAATGCATTACATTCCTTATCTTGATGTTAAGAACATCTGGTCTTTTTAACAAAGTCCTCCCTGTTTTTTCCCAGGGAAATGGCCAGGTATCCAGGGAAAGAAGAGGTGAGCTACTGATTATGTGCCTTAGAGAGACGAAAGCTTTAACCAAGCCTTTCTAACTTAAAGTTTTAACTTTCCTTATATTTGGTCCTAGGGTTGGGTTGAGGCATAGGCATAATTAACATGGAACTTTTGTAATACAAAAGATTGATATAACTTGTTCATTTTTGATATATCCAACAATTACAGATATAAAGAATTATTAAAGCCAAAATGATCAATAATACAGGCTTAAATATCACAGAAAATACTGTTGAGCAGTAGAACTAGTGAACAGAAGATCTCACCACCTGATTGGCATCTTGTATAACTGTATTGTGTTAATAACTTATTTTTAACAATTATAGTAGCTATTCTACGTTCTTCTAAAGCCTTTTCATTTTTTCGTAGGTGGGCCTTTAGCTCAGCAGAATTATGAAATATTTCAGCTAAAGAAAGATCTAAATATATATGAGGTGGCTTCACATATTTGGTATCCATTGAAGAGTAACATCATCCATTAGATTGGGCAATAAATAATAAACAGCACCGTTCCAATGGAGCAACTCAAGATGCTGCAGACATCCTGAGAAAGGAGAGGGCAGTCCCATGTTGAAGAGTTCTGATTCATTGGCACCTGCTAAACATATATGTTGGGGTTCCACATCATATAAAATAGAATAGCTAGCAACAGGATATACAGTAAGAAGACAAACATTAGTGGAATGAGATAATAGACATGGTTTTGTTATTTGGATTAAATCATTACATATGGGACCTCTCTCTGTAGGAACACATTTTTTAATTTATAAGTAACATTATCATTATCTATATGAGTATCTTTTATTTGAGGATGTAAAAAGTGATCTTCTATTACTATAGGCAATGTGTGAGAAGCACACAAAATTTTAGTTTGTATAGGAGTATAATATTTTAGAGTTAGATTAATAGATGAAGAACTTAATAATACATCTCTATATCTATATTTTTTCCATCTTCTTGTGATATTATGTTCTGATGTAGCGGTAATATTTATTATGTCACAACGTTGATTGGCAGGACAGGTGTATGAATCTTGTGTTCGAGATTTAGTTGAATTTTTCTATACCCATCGCCATTGGATAGTTGTGTTTGTCTCTTGGATTTGGAGGGGGAATCCTGGTGTCCAGGCAAACACGGTAATCATCAATCCTGAGAAGCAAAGCAATCTGTAAAGCTAATTTCGTAAAAAAAAAGTTGATTAGTGGGGACAGTTAAGTAGTGTTCTTGACCTGGAAGCATAATAATAACTGCATTATTATTTCCTTGAGCAATGACTTCTGTAGGCTGTGGTTTATCTCTATCATATCTCTTGAGCCAAACTTTAGCTCCAGGGATCAAATTGGTTGATCCAAAACCTCCTAACCTGCTGGTTACTGGAGGAGGCTTATCTAACAAAGTCCATTTTTTAGCTGTTTACAAGGAATGATCAGTAATTGAGCAATTAAAGTTCCAGGAACAAAATGTAAAGTTTCTTTTCCTATATTAGAAAGAATTATCTTAATTTTTCCCCTATAATTGGAATGAATTATTCCGGCTAAAATTTGGATTCCTTTTTCAGCCAGACTAGAACGGGGAGCAATTTGTCCATAATATCCTTGTGGGATTTTGATCCCTATCTCCATCTTACATTTTAATATATTTGGGGGATCTATCCATATTTTTTCTAAAGCATGTAAATCATGACCAGAAGATCCAATGGTGGCTCTAAAAGGCATAATTGCCTTCTCATCTATTTTTTACCATTGTATTTTTTGAAAAGTATAGATCTTTTTTATCTGTAAATTAGGCACCATTATTCTCATAAGTGGAGTTAGTCCCGGTCCTATGGGCTGGTTATTTAATTGTTGTAAGGCTTCAAATAAATTATCTTTTTAATTATTATACGAATTATTATCTAGTTTTTTAAGGTTTTTTTTAGCAAACCGTTTATTCTTTTTACTAGGCCTGTAGCTTGTGGATAATAAGGAATATGATAGATCCACTCAATATTGTTTTGTTCAGCATAATCTTGTATTTCTTTTCCTTTAAAATGGGATCCATTATCACTTTGAATTTGTATTGGCATTCCATAATATAATGCAATTATCTCTAAAGTTTCAATAGCATTCTTTTGCACAGTTCTACGGTATGCACAGGTGACTAGCACTCCCGAATAAGTATCCAACACAAGTGCAAATATATTGACATCCCCTTGATTGCGGAAGAGGACCTATATAATCAATTTGCCAAATTTGTGCAGGAGTTTGTCCTTATGCAATTCTCCAGTTATTATATGAGGAAGTGCTCGCTTGCTGTCTAATTGACATGTAGGACACTGTTTTACTACTTGCTTTAATTCAGACAAAGGTGTGGATAGTCCTTGGTCTTGTGTCCACCTGTACATAGCATGAGTTCCTGCATGTCCTGTTTTGGTATGGATCCATTTTGCCAATCCTTCCAAGGGAGGAAGGAGATTCACTTCAACAATTGTAGCTAATTGATCAGCTTCAGCGTTGTACTTACAGTCAGTAGAATTCAAGGTGCTATGAGCATCTACATGAAAAACAGACACATTAGTTTTTTGCACAATTTGTCATATTTCATTTCATATTTCATGGCTCCATATATTTTCTCCATGAATTTTCCAATTATCTCTATATCAACATGGCATCCAAGTAGTAAGTCCATTTGTAATTGTCCATGAATCTGTAAAAACATGACATTCGCCTCCTGTTTCATGTTTTAAAGCTTGATATACAGCTTGTAATTCAGCAAATTGGCTACTGGCTCCTTCTCCCTGGGTTTCTAAAACCAAAGTTGTATAAGGGTTATAAGCAACTGCTTTCCAATACCTTTGATGACCTATATACTTAGCAGAGCTGTCAGTAAACCATGCATGTTTTTTCTGCTGTTCTGTCAAAGTATCATATCCATTTCCCATTTTCATGGGAGACATAATTTTTATCATACATGGTATTTTTACATCATGAGATTGTCCTTCTATTTCAGCCACTTGTTCGTGTAGAGTTAGAACTCCAGTTGGTCCAGGTTTTGCTCTATTTTGGATATACCATTTCCATTTGATTATACTGCTCTCTTGTGCATGTCCAATTTTATGTGAAGCTGGGTCATGTATAATCCATTGCATAATGGAAATTTTGGGAGGTAACAACACTGTATGGCCTACTGTTAGTTGTTCAGTTTCTACCAAAGCCCAATATGCAGCCAATAATTGTTGTTCAAAAGGAGTATATAATTGACCTGCTTCTGGTAATTTTCTGGTTCAAAATCCCAGGGGCATTCTTTTGGATTCAAATTTTTGCCATAACCTCCAATTAGCATAGTTATCTTCTACTGACACTATCAATTCAGTGGGCCCTTCTCGAATAGGCCAAAGATCTAGGGTGGCTTGGATAGCAGCTTTAGCAGCCTCAAATGTCTGTCGTTGTTCTGGTCCCCATTCAAATTCATATTTCTTCCTAGTTAATTTATATAATGGCCTCAAAATTTGACCCAAATAAGGAATATGGTTTTGCCAATATCCAAGTAGCCCTATAAATTTTTGAGTTTCTTTTTTAGTCTTAGGAACAGCAAAATCTAAAACCTTTTGTTTCCCTTTAGGTAATATATTTCTACATCTTTGATTCCACTGAATTCTTAAAAATTGTACTTCTTGAGACGGTCCTTGAATTTTTTGTGGATTAACTTCCCATCCTTTTTTCTTTAATAGTTCAATAATCTTATCAAGATGTTCTTGCACTTTCTCTTGAGTTAGGGATTGGATTAATATATCATCAATATAATGAGTAACCATAGTAGTTGAGTCTAACTCATATTCATCTAAATGTTCAGCTATCAATTTATGACAAATAGTAGGGCTATGTTTATATCCTTGAGGTAGATGGGTAAATGTATATTGTCTTCCCCACCATGTGAAGGCAAAATAGGGCCATTGTTTTTCACAAATAGGGATAGTAAAGAAAGCATTAGCTATATCTATTACAGCATATCAAATTCCAGGGTGACGCTGAATTCTTTCTATTAAGGTAACAGTATCTGGCACTGTGGCTGTGAGGGGTGGGGTAACTTTATTTAACTCTCTGTAATCTACTGTCATTCTCCATGAGCCATCTGATTTTTGAATGGGCCATATTGGATTATCCCATTTAGTTGTAGCAGTGATCATAACACCTATATTAACATAATCTTTAATAGTTTGAGCTATTTCTTCATGGCCTCCTGGAATTCAATATTGTTTACAAGAGATAATTTTAGTAGGCTCAGGCTATGACACAGGAGTCTGATGCAATTTTCCCACAATTATATGATAAATTTTAAAAGCACGAACAGCAAAACGATAATTTCCATCATCCAATGCTAAAGACATTCCTCTAAGTATATCAATTCCAATTATATATTCTGGGATGGGAACTACTACTATTGAATATTCCCTGTGGGGCAAGTGCCCAATTTTCATCATTAATTTAGTTTGTTTTGCCTGTACCTCAGCACCACCTAATCCTGTAATAGTCAAAGTAGTTCCTTTCAATTTATCAGGATTTCCATATATCAAAGAGGCCTCCACCCCTGCGTCTACTAAGGCCCTAATCTGGGTTTGCAATCCATTTTTCCAATAAATTGTAAGAGGGACATGAGGTCTTAAATCAGCTCTAGACACTGTTTTGTAACAAGGTGGCTCGCCAGGGGCTTGGCCACATCCCTATTTTAAACGAGCAAGTTCATCCAGGGGATAAAGGGAAGGCAATCCAGCAGGGGGAGCAGTGGGCACAACAGAAAACGAATTAGATGATTGATTATCAGCCAGAGTTACTTTTCGAGTTTTAGCATTTTTCACTTGATCCCTATATATTTGCCACATATCCTTGGTAGGAATGCCATCCAGTTTCTCCCTAGGCACTCCCACTTTTAAAAGAGCTTGAAATATTTCTTTTCATGGAATTCGATTCTGTATTTCATTAGCTCAACTTGAAGTTCTGCTATAATCTGTTTTTTCCAGGGAGGGAGCAGTATTGTTCCATTCTCCCATGTCCCCTATCTCTGCCATTTTTTTTAACACTGTCTCAATAGGGGACCCCATCTCAGCCAACAAAAGGGTCATCATTAAATGTTTATAAGCAGAAGGAGCAGTGCACACTTTCAAATTATGCTGGGTAGCTGTCAGAGGGCTCACCAAATACATGTCTGTTTGTCCTAGAATAATAGCCATTTTCATGGCTTCTCCTTTTAAATGGGCTATGCCATCCTTTAAAGTATACCATGGACACATTTCAGTCGGCCATGACCCATCAGTAGGATATTGTGCAATATATCCCCTAGTGGCCAAGGTTAACACAGAGGTGGTGGACTCAGCTGGATCGGCATGCTGGTGATCTCGAATAGCAGTTTGAATAAAAGGATTAGTGGAGATTGTAAGAAATTTTTGGGCATCCACATGATCCACACTGATTCCTCCAGCTCCAGTATCAGTTATTCTAATCATCCAACTTAACAAGGATTCTCCAGGCTGTTGGGAGAATTTGGTTAAAATATCAGTAATTTCTTGCTGGGAAAAATCTTCAGTAATTATGGTATACTCTCTTCGATCTCCCCTAACCTTCTGTTGCCTCCGCTGGAGGGGTTTAGCTTACAGTGGGCCTGATTGCACTCGTGGGGGATATTTTTCTTGGTCATATCTATGTGCTTCTTCCTCTAAATCATCTCAATTAACATCATCATCATCAGTATCATCCCAAATATCTCCATCCCAAGTATCAGGGTCCCAATTTACTCCAGCTGTAGAGATAACAGCATGTACTTTTTGGGAGTTAACTTGTCCGTGCCTCTTCTTATATTTATATTGAGCGCAGAGAACGGCAGCCTTTTCCACTACAGATTGATATCCACGAGCTTGATCCCCCAATATAAAATTCTGACACTGTAACATAGCCAATTTACTCTGTAGTTTGGCATTTTCTTTTTCTAAAATAAGCTTTTCTTGTATCAAAGTTTCTACTTTCTGACACATACACCGATAAGCAGACAACAAAATCCATCCTCGGCGAGAGATGGCAGTTAATTCAGCTCCTTTTTCTACCGGAACAGTTCCCAACACTTCGATAACCTAGGGAGGATTTGCCTGCTGCAGTTTGCCACTCCAGTTCTCACTTAAACCTTTTCCCATAGCCCATTGTCTGGCTAAGGAGGCAAACTGCGGATCGTCCCACCCAGGAACATCACAAGTAACACAGGCGATTTTTTTAGTTTTCTTACGAAAGAAAGGCATGGCTGCGTTGTCTCAGCGGATCCTGCCAACTACGCCAATTTGTAAGGACAAATTTTATTTATTGTCCTTTGCCATGCACGGTCTCCTAATTAATTTGGCTCGATGTGCTAAAAGAATGTCCACCAGCCTTAAATAAGTACAAAAGGGAAAGTTTATTGAAGGATATGTGCATACAGAAAACAAAAGTAAGAATGGAGCGGACAAAGAAAGAGGAGAGTCTGCTAAGAGCAAGAGGAACTCTATCCGGGAAATTACCCTTAGGCTCTCTGGCAACAACACTGGAATGTTGGAGGAATTAGGTTCATCACTCGCAACACAGCACAGGTCTTTTCAAGAGTCTCTTCGGCTACAAGTCTCAATCCCGGGCGTAAGACAGCAGCAGCAAGGTTCATCACGCAACACAGCACAGGTCTTTTCAAGAGTCTCTTCGGCTACAAGTCTCAATCCCGGGCGTAAGACAGCAGCAGCAGCCTGGGCTAGGCAGGTTGTTTATATAGCTCTCTAGACAAAGGTAGTAAATCTATGTGTATTTTTGGCGCGAAAAAGGTGAATGTGCTTGTAGTTACAGTCCCAACCGGGCCTTGGTCAGGGGTCCGGGAGGGGTGGAATGCATCACACTCCTTATCTTGATGTTAAGAACATCTGGTCTTTTCAACAAAGTCTTCCCTGCTTTTTCCCAGGGAATTGGCCAGGTATCCAGGGAAAAAAGAGGTGAGCTAGTGATTATGCGCCTTAGAGAGCCGAAATCCTTAACCCAAGCCTTTCTAACTTAAAGTTTTAACTTTCCTTACAGTGTAAGAATGGATTTTAGGGCAATGATTTTTATGAGGCTGAGGTGTACTAATGGTTTCCAAGTACGTGAGCATTGCAGTGTAGATATGATGTGTAGTGTTTGGCTTGAGTACAGTGTTATCATTAGGTTTAGGTGTAGGAATGAACTTGACACTTCAATACCTGTGTGATGTAGTATAGGATTAATGGTGAGTGTTATTGTTAAATTTAGGATTAGGGTTATGAATGATTTAGGAATGTGAGTACCTGTGTTAGGTCTTGTGGTAGGGTTAGGGTTATGGTTAGTATTGGGTTTAGTTATAGCCTTGGAATATCTGTACTTGGGTTTTGGAATGTGAGTTTAATACTTAGTATCAGCATTAGATTTCACCTCAAGTTTAGGA